CTCTTGTCCTGCCCCCCACGGCTGCCCTCCACAAAGGCACTCGGAGGTTTGTGGTAGACAGAGGCTAGAGTACCGATGTGGCAGATGAGTTCCTCCAGCAGAGTGGGCTCAATCAGATCCGTCTCCTCAGAGATCAGGGGCTTCTCAGCCAGAACCACCTCCTTGGCAGCCACAGGGTCTGTGGACAGCAGACGCCAGTAGATGTAGCCACGGTCCCTGAGGTCTGGGTTATCAGAATCCTAAGGAAATAGGTTGAAGGAAATGAAAGTTGATTATTTACAGAACATCCATCCATACATCCATCCATCTTTGCTTATCCGTTACCGGGTCGCGGGGACAGCAGTCTCCATGACCCCCACCCTAATTACATTGCACCGTACCAAACCCGCTAAACCTTCCTGCGGGCGATGAGTCCACTGGAAGGTACCAACCACCCTAACCGGGATTCGATCTTACTCAGGTGAACCGTGGGGTTCCACACAAATGACAGAGACATTGCCTCTGGGCACAAGCGCCACTCTCTCTTTTCTGTCACTGGAATTACTGTACGTATGTACCTCTGAGGTTTGGTTAAAATATTATAGTATATTCTTGTATTATACAGACTGCAGTAAGAGAAAACAGCTAAAAGAACTCAAACGACTGAAGTCATTACTTTGGTTTGTGCAATGTCCAGCTCCATAAACAGATCCAATACTCCTGTGTACCACAAGGTAATGAGGATAGACTTTAAAAAGTATTCAGTCGATCGGAATCTAAAGATAAATCGAGCTGATGAGAATAAACTGAACAGAACCTCTAGATGTGGTTATTTGTCCTCACCTGTGTGGCCAGGCTGAGCACCTGCTGCACTAACTCCTGGGTCTCTGTTGGCTTCTTAAGGAACAACTTGACGATGGCTGTCAGAAGCTGCAGCTGCACCTGTAAGGAAGGAAGGAAGGAGGAAGGAAGGAAGGAACTTTATTGTCCTATCACCAGAGGTGATACGAAATTAGTTTGTACAACCCGTTCCAAGAATACATGAATAGACAATAAAACAATACAAATAAATTGACAAGGAGAGACAGGAACAGGAAGTCCAGGACACAGCCCCTTCGGCGCACCCTATAATAGATGAAGAACAACTGAAAAACGCTGGGGGAGGAGGTGGAGGGGAAAAAAAAGACAACTCCAAACTAGGCCCCGTGGGAAGAGGGGCGCAGTGTGGGATCTGGAAAAAAAAACCTCTCAGCACAAAGCACAATCAAGACATTATCACAGCACGAGAACATCTGCACATGTGGGAGTTGGGCAGGAGAATGGGGGCGGGGGGTTACGGCACGATCGAGTCTGGGAGGGCTGCAGCAGCACCTGCGCTGCCCTCGACCTTCCCCGACCGCGTCGCAACAGGGGAGGGAGGGAGGCTGTAAGGGGCCAAAGAAGGCGTTGAATCAGGGGTAAGGGTAAGTGTC